GGTAATATCTATGGATTAATTTATAAGACACTTCTCTCACTTTGTTTTGAAACAAATATCTATGTGGCAATTTCCACACATTGGCCCAGTTCAGTTCAGCCCATTTGCAATTCCAGCCCAGTAATGAACAACATAAGGGGTAGTGGTAATTTCTGTTTGAAATAAATACCTAATATAACAATTATTATTTTTGGATTTGACTGAAAAGCATAAACGACCAACTGATATGTCACTGCCGGGTCAAAGGGTGGAACACAGGCTGGTTTCTCAGCACTCTTTAATAAATTTAGAATATCAGAGGGAATAGCATCCATTATTATAACAAATTCTCTTGGGGTTACAGGAAAATCAAATGTTTGCAGGAACTCTGAGCACTTCAGCAAATTCACATTATCATTAAATAGCTGATATACTAGAATTATGTTATCAAACCACAAGTTAAAAAAATAGATTTTGTTTGTATTTAATGTGTTGATTATTCTAAATGAAACATTTATGTGGGGAAAATAAATAAAAGACCATGTCAACAACATTTGATTATGAACATTCGATAACTAAAGGGGAAGTTTATCTATTTTAAAATCACATATTCAAGGTCAGATAGATAGATAGATAGATAGATAGATAGATAGATAGATAGATAGATAGATAGATAGATAGATAGATAGATGATAGATAGGGTTCTGTAAGAGCTGCTTTATCCAGTTAAATTTAAAGGTATTATTAAGCGTAGTAAAGTCGAGAAAGTTTAAACCAGCTGAAGCATAAGTGTTCATAATAACAGATGTCTTCACATGAGGTGTTTTATTTTTCCATATAAAACTGAATAGTAACTTATCAGTGGCGGTACAGATGTGCTTTTTTTTTTTTTTTTTTTTTTTGTCGACAGTCAGATAGATAGGTGCGTGACGAAATCAAGCAGCGGAACAAAAGTTGATCTTGTTTAGCGTCCGGATAATTTTTCCGGCGTACCAAGCAACCGGAAGTTTGTTGCGCTGTTCATGTGGGTTAACGTTAACGATACAACATCTAACAAAACGTTAAATTGAAAAAGGAAATAGGAGTCATTTTCACTAAACTAAAAATAAAACATGTCGGACAACGAAGATAAGTAAGTAGAGAAAGTTACATTCATGTTGGTGTTTACAAAAAGCCGAAATGGCTAAACTACGCTAACTGGCAGTCTTTGGTCTGATAACATTTTATTACATTTGTAGCTTCGATGATGGAGATTTTGATGACGCTGAGGAGGATGAAGGGTTAGACGACCTGGAAAATGTTGAAGATGTAAGTTTTGTCAGAATATACGTGAGTTATGAACTTAGTTCAAGTTCTAGACGTTTATTTGTCTGACGAAATTTGTGACAATAAAGCTGAATGTTTTTTTTATGCTTGTTTGTACGCACATGTGTGCATTTTTGACACTACACGTACAGATCTATTTATTTACCCATTCAATTATCCTTGTCCCAAACCTAACCATATTCTAACAATAACATTATATGAATATGTATAAAGAGGGCTCCTCCTCTTCAGCTGCTAGACAAAGTGGTGAAGCAGCAATTCACGCAGCTTTTGTGTTTATTTTGCTGAACAGGAAGACCAGGAGAATGTGCAGATCCTTCCTGCAGGTGAAGGCCAGCAGGCCAACCAGAAGAGGATCACCACACCGTACATGACCAAATATGAGAGGGCCAGAGTGCTGGGGACCAGGGCCCTGCAGATAGCGTGAGTGTTGCACAACCTCACACATGGGTCATGTGTGATGAGATGATGGTAAACTATACTGTCAAGGATCCCAAACTAACAACTGTGGCCATGCTTTCGTACATCTTACGTCTGCGTCCTCTGAGGTATATATAAAGTTCTTTCTCAAGATGATCAAGATGCATTTATTGAAACATGATGTGATGTTTGAGATTTATTTTTATGCAGAGCAAAGAAACTTTTTAAAACCAGTTATAAACAGTCCACTTCTTGATTCAGCCCAAATATATACAGTTACAACCAAACTATATTCAATAGAGGTAGATACTGTTTATCAGTACTGAATAAACCACAATTATTAAGAAAAGTTTTTCTATGTTAGCCGCTGGTTTGCATTAAAACCTTTTATTTGAATCCAGTGTGCTATCCTGAGCTTGCTCGGTTTAAAAAGTAGAGAAAACGCTAATTATCACATTTAAGCTCTTTTTCCTTATTCTTGTTTTTAATCATTGTCGAGACAAAGAAAGCGTGTTAAATATATTCTATAAGAATTTTAGACACCACTGAAGCAAGAATTAAAGCTGCGATATGAGATGGCGCTAAACAGTTTATAAAAAAAACCCAACTGCGTTAAAAGCTTGACTAATATTTAAGGTTAAGGTTTATTAACCAAATTATAAGAACAGAGAGACTGTGCAAAATATTGCTTTAATGTTAAAGTAAGTTGCTAAAGTTCCTTGCTTTGAACTATTTTCAGAATAGTTTCATCTACTTTGTAAATAAGCATGCCGCTTTTCGCCAGTTCAGAATTAAAGGACAAGACAGCCCCTGGTTCCAGAGCTGTCTGACCTACACTGGAGAGATCAGCTTTGGGCAACAGCTAGACATTCGGGCTCAGACACTGATTGGCTGCATTTTTAACAGCTGTGGAATAAATGTACAGCTTCCATCAAAGTCATAAAACATAAATATTTCTTATCTCAGACCTCCAAAGATCTAAATGATCCTAAAAGATTCTGGAAAACCATCAAATCTGTCTACGGCAGCTCCCAATCATCTGACCTCCCGTCAGAGCTTCTTATTAACTCTGTTCCTGTGTTAAATAAGCACGAGATCCTGAACTGTTTCAACAAATATTTTCTTGCTTCTAGTTCTTTATTTGATACAGTTACTAATGGAAAATCAGCCACTTCACCTTTAAGCCAAACATCTACAAACCATATCTCTCCTACAAGTCACTCTTCAGTAAATCACACCTTTTCATTTTCATTGTTTTTAGTTATTGAGGTTAAACTGTTAAAAGGTCTAGACTCTAAAAAATCTGCAGGACCAGATGAACTTCCACCTTATTTCTTAAGGCTGGC